CACAGTAAAACATTACAACATATGGGCAGCTTTGGGGGCGATGAGAAAAAAAACAACCATTTCTAACATGTATATAAAACTAATGAGGATAGGCATGACAAGACATAACAAGACATCAAAATAGTTTTCCTCTTGGATGTTTGACACCAGTTTTGGCTTGTTTTTTATTCGCTCTTTTTCATTCACTTTCTTTTATATCTTTGTGTATTGTCTGTAATGTATCCTCCTCACCTATTCATTATTTCCTCAGACCTGCTGTTTCTTCAAGAGGTGTGCCACTCTGCTCTCCAAAAGAAGACCTACAAATCACAAGCCTGTCACACATGCCTGCTGTGGAACATGAGATGCCACCAACATCTACATGAAATAATGATGTGGTGCAGAGCACATGCAGGATGTGTGTTCATGCTTATGCCGGTCAACAGGGTCTAAAATTCATACTCGTCAAATGAAAGTAAAAATGTTTCCAGTTGGCAGATAACTTATCTGCAAAATAATAATAATAATAATAAAAAAAGTAAAATGAATTAAGAGAGCAACAGTTTGATGTAAGTGAAATGAGACATACAAACCAACCATCTACTACAGAAAACTAACAAAATTCACTACAATTCTTTCCATATAATTTGACAGCGGCATAGCGATAGATAGATAGATAGACAGACAGACAGACAGACAGACAGACAGAAAGACAGACAGACAGACAGACAGATAGATAGATAGATAGAATATATTCATATATTTTTATTTAATTATACTAATATATTACATTATATATATATACACAATATATATAAACACACAGTTGTAGTCGAAAGTTTGTATCTGCAAAATGTTAATTATTTTACCAAAATAAGAGGGATCATACAAAATGCATGTTATTTTTTATTTTGTACTGACCTGAATAAGATACTTCACATAAAAGACGTTTACATATAGTCCACAAGAGAAAATAATAGTTGAATTTATAAAAATGACCTTGTTCAAAAGTTTATACGCTTGACATACGCTTGATTCTTAATACTATGTTGTTACCTAGATGATCCACAGATGTTTTTTTTTTGTTTTTTTTAATAGTTGTTCATGAGTCCCTTGTTTGTCCTGAACAGTTAAACTGCCCGCTGTTATTCGTTATTCCCTTCAGGTCCCACAAATTCTTGGTTTTCCAACATCTTTTGTGTATTTGATTTTGAGATCCATCTTTTCACACTGAGGACAACTGAGGGACTCATACGCAACTATTACAAAAGGTTCAAACTGTCACTGATGCTCCAGAAGGAATATCGATGCATTAAGAGCCAGGGTGTAAACTTTTGAACAGAATGAAGATGTGTACGTTTTTCTTATTTTGCCTAAATATCTTCTTTTTTTTTTTTCATTTAGTACTGCCCTTCAGAGGCTACAGAACATAGTTACATGTTTCCCAGAAGACAAAAAAAAACAAACATGCATTTTGTATGATTGTCCTGAACAGTTAAACTGCCCGCTGTTATTCAGAAAATCCTTCAGGTCCCACAAATTCTTGGTTTTCCAACATCTTTTGTGTATTTGATTTTGAGATCCATCTTTTCACACTGAGGACAACTGAGGGACTCATACGCAACTATTACAAAAGGTTCAAACTGTCACTGATGCTCCAGAAGGAATATCGATGCATTAAGAGCCAGGGTGTAAACTTTTGAACAGAATGAAGATGTGTACGTTTTTCTTATTTTGCCTAAATATCTTCTTTTTTTTTTTTCATTTAGTACTGCCCTTCAGAGGCTACAGAATATATATATATATATATAATTCTGTTTTGGGTTAATTATTTAATAAACCATTTCTGGTAAACCATCTCAGTTCAAAACCTAATTTTGGATCCTGTCTATACATGCAATATCATCAATAGTTGTATGAAGAAAAAAAATACTGAATTGCTGAGCATTTTCTATGTTTTTTCCTTTTTCAGCCGACACTTATTTGAAGCTTTACCTCATCAGGACTTTCTCAGACTGTGCTGACAGACACATTTTCTCATGTGCGATCAGATACTGCTGCGTCTTCACAATTTCACATGTGCAGCTCATCAAAACAAATCATGCTCATTTGTGGTAGGGTCCCAGAGTGAATGGTGAATATGTGTTTGTTGCTGTGGGTGTGACATTTTAGAAATTTTTAATAACTGTGAGCAAATGTAAGCCATTAGATGGGAACATGATATCAAACTGTATCTTCTGGCGTGTGTGTAGGGGGAGGAGAGAGAAACGCACTTGTATAAAAGTTTGTGTGGGTATTTATTCATGGGGTGTGCAAGTGTGTCGGTGTGTGTCATGCAGACTGCAGAGCTGTGTCATAATGCAGCTGTCCTGCTTCAGGTGCTTGATGCAGTACTGCGTATTGCAGTAGCGAAGCATTCTGCTGCAAAGGTGTGTGAGGCTGTTTTAGTGAATGAACGTGGGACAGTTTCAATAAAAGACTGAATGGAAAAACATGCCTGTGGAGACATTTCTGCTAAATAATATTACTTTGAATATTACTTTTTGTGACACTTTCAAAGTGAAATGTCCAGTGAGTGACCTACATTAAACCCTACCCTAAACTTGTCAGATGGTGGTAACAAAAGCAAACATGAGATAAAAACATGCAAACAGAACCAGCATTTTAGCTTGCTTTTATTGTAGCTCACGTTTCAATGGATGCAGTGCTCTACCAGGTGAGCTACAGAGCAAGTTTATTATGTCAAAAGAGCCATACATATGGATCTGGTTATGTGATGCAAACATCAAAATGTATTAGTTTACAAATCATGCACTGTGATAAAAGTATGTTGAGGTCATTACATACTTTTGTTCGAGGAAGCACATAAAAATAATTCTTTATTAATCGATAATCTGCACTAATCATAATTTGTGTGAAAGGGAATAAAAGTTGTTGGTGTTTTACTACCACTAGTGTTTAGTTCAGTTAAGTTTTAGGAGAAATGTAGGTTAAGGCATGTTTTCCAATGAGCCTTGGTTAAAAAAACAGTATTGTGCTATTAAGTTTAATCTAAGAGTGCCTTTCTTGTTTTTCAAACACAAACAGATGGAAAATTAGAAACGGTAACAGTTTAAACTCTCCTGCTCTCAGACGAAGTTGTGAAAAGATGCATTTTTTTTCTTTTCTTTTTTTTCAGACTGACTCCAAAAATTCATTTGGAATCTCCAAACCTGGATTGAGCCATTGTGTTCCCATAAAGTCCGAATGATTATTTTAGCATCTATGTCAATAAAGGTTTATTCATTATGTTCTTTTAGTTTATTGGTTTTAAGAGAAATATACGTTTCTTGTTTCGCCGCAGTTTAGCGGGCCTTTAATGCAAAGACAAGTCCTTAAATGGCATCTAAAAAGAGGAATTTCATTCTGGATTTGGAAGTGTGGGCAGTGATGTGCACACTTTTTCACATCTTTTCTAAACATTTAATATATGTTACCTGAATGTAAAAATCTAACCACACAACATGTACCGGAGACCTTCCATCATCCTGCAATGACCAATGTTCACCTCCCATCATTTTCATTGAGTAGCCAGTCATTTATATGACCTTTCTAGCTCTTAAGCTTCTGTTTTATATTCCAGCTTCACACAGAGATCAAGCAGAATAAATGCGATACTGATGATTTACAACTGAGAGAACTGAACTGTATTACTGTTGGGTTTTAAATGTTCTCACTTGGGTCATATGAGGACAGAAAGTTTTTGACCTCACACACACATGCTATTCATCTCTCTCTCTCTCTTTCTCCTTTTACTATCAGGAAGGGAAGATCTTGGAACGGGTGATTTTGAGCTACACAGAGAAGGACGATTGTGTATGTGTGTGTTAGAGAAAGACTGGTTGATTGAGCTCTAGTGAGCTGTCAGAATCACACCCAGACCATCCCTCATTAGTGAGCCAATACTGACCTTCTGCCTTCAACTGTTGGACTATATCCAGATCCTGCTACATGTTGAAGAACTCACCCACTCATCCTCTCTCACACACACACACACACACACACACACACAAACACAGATTCAGCAGCATTCACCCACTCACAAACACACACAACACACACATAGGTGTGTGTCTGTCTATCTATCTATCTATCTATCTATCTATGTATCTATCTATCTATCTATCTATCTATCTATGAGGAGCGATGCACCAATATTACAATTCTAGCTGGTACCAATAAACTACTTATTTTCCATGTTATGGCTGAATATTAATAATTTAAATAATAATAATAATGATAATAGTAATAATAATAATTGTCATAAATTTACAAAAAACAAACATTAAAAAATAATTTTAAATGCTACAAGTGAATATACAAGTAAATTTATAGTTTGCAGTATGAAAATGGATATTCATTTTGGAGTTATTAAATTATTAGTGTTTTTAAAAATTAACTTGAAGTGAGCGTTAGTTGATGACAAAAATAAAAACAAACTGAAATGAGCGTGCACAATTAAATATCTAATTATGCCCCAACATGGGATCATTTTGGTATATTAAAAACTATAATATCAGGCAACAACCTGATTGATTAAATAAAAAATTATTAAATAGATTTTGAATGTTTGCTGCATGAAGTTAAAAAAAATGTAAATATTTTCTAAAATTCATTAATTTGTTTGTTTATTTATTTATTCATTCTATTATTATTCACATTTTCACACTATTTAAAATCTCAGGGGGGTAAATAATTTATAATTTAAAATATTTTCATTTTAAATGAAATATTTTCATTTTACATTTTTTTCATTTCAAACATTTGCAATTTAAATAGTGAAACATTTTTTATTAAAATATTATTTAACATGTTTTTCTCATGGGGACCATTGGCTACTCCACACAATGTAAGTGACTTCAGGTTTTACTATCCTCTCAGTATAGGCAAAACCTAATCTACACACATACACACCTCCCTCTCTCTGCCTCTGCCTTTGCCTCTCACTCTCTCACTCGCTCTGTCTGCGCTCAGTTTAAGTGCAGGGACCCAGCGCATGGAAGGTAGAGGGCAGAAGTGCGTGTTTCCTCTCCTCCCCTTTACCTCCGTTCATCTTCTCTTTCAGATGACAGGCTGAACGCTCAGTGGAAACAGCAGGAAGAGTGTGTACCTGTGCGTGTGTGGCGTACTCCATCGGAGAGTCTCATTCAACATGCTGTAACATCAGGCAAACTGGCTCTACAAGAGAGAAAGAGACACAGAAAGAGGTAAGACTGACTCTGTGCTTCTCATTAACAAGAAACACGCTCGTTTCTTTCTGTTTTCAAAAGCACAGCCAAATGTTTAACTCACATGTGCTGAACTTGGAATAGACCTTTTGCTTTTTTGATCTCGCAGGTAAGTTGCGGTATGTTATTGATATTTGAGCATTGATTGGGTGAATGGGTAGAATTGACTGTTTTGAGCTAATGTGGAATATTGTGGGAACGGATATGTTTGTTCACATGATATCAATACATCAGGGCTTCAAGCTTTAGATAATTAGACAGGTTAAAGAGGAACTGCTAATGACGCTTGTGTTTCCTGAGTGTCTACATTTTCCTTTTGCTCATCACTGGAAAGGGAACGTCAGGAGAGATGGTAACTTGGAATCGAGCAAGCTTTTTGTTTTTACAAGGGATCATGGGGAAATGTAATGAACCTGTCTTAGTCAACAGCAGATGGGCATCCATTCAGCCTCTGTGTGCATTTGTGGATGACAGAAGCATCCCAGCAGCACTTCACAACTACTAATTGGGTTCCTCACCTCTGTTATTTCTCAGACTGTGTGCGAGTCTGCGTGTGTTTGACAGCTCTCTTGTCTGTGAGAGGTTGAGATGTCAGTTGGTGTACTGATAAACTAAAGCATACATTAGTTTATCAGAATGCGTCCTCAGCTGAGCAGTGATGAGTGATTTTGGACGGAGCCCTCGAGCTGGTTTTTACAGAGTGCCACAGCATGCTGTCAGAAACCCTCACAGCTAGTGTCAACATGACCACAATACTACTGCCCTAAGCTTCTGGGTTTGGGTTTGAATTATTCATTTGAATCGTTAAAATAAATAAATAATTAATTAAAATGATTTGTAGTGATTTCTTTAAAACATTATCATTATATATATTTATTAATTAATCATTAATACTACTAATAATAATTTGTTATTTATATTAACAGTTAATTTTTTTCAAGTTATTTATGTGTATTTAAATAGTTGTTAATAATTTTAAAATGTTTTAAATCGAAATATTAAAACAATTAAATTAAGAGATAATGAACAGTCGGTTGATCATTATATAAAAAAAGTGAGACATACTTGACATGAAATATTAATTATATTACTATAATATATATATATATATATATATAATTGTATATAATTTAATGCTATATTCATTATATTTCATAATCATACCTGTATATTATCCTATGTTGCATTTCATAACAAAGAATACGAACAAAAAGAATAATAATCTTATTATAATAATAATAATACTGTAATAATATTTCAGTAATATTAACACTGAAGACCTCTGAGGTCAAACTCACTACAGCAGTATTATTTTAGTATTATTTATATACTATTATAGTATTTATTCGTATTTTGAATGAACTATTATTTTATATTTGTATTTGCATTAATTCAATTTTAATCATTTTGTTATGTGCCTTTGTCTTTTTTTTTATATTTCTACTTAGCTTCAGTTTTTTATTTTAGTTTTCCATCTAATATTTATATTTTATTTAAACTTTATTTCAATTACCAAAAGTAACTTTAATATTATTTTTAGTAACAGCAACAACACTGCACTATACAGTCAATGTTGTTCAGTTACCTGCATGTGCTGTCTGATAAATATATATAGCCATGGACAACAGCGAATATTAGGAAATATCTGCTGAATGCTGTGACTGACCAATCAGAATCAAGTATTCCAGAAAGCTGTGTAATAATATTAAATATCAATTGTTGACCTTTAATAGCACAGAAACATGTCCCCGAAAGGAAACACCTCAGTCTGGGTAGATGAGCTGATGCATCTCCTCACAGCGGGTTCAGTTTTTGTAAATCAACCTGGATTGGCAGACTTTTGAAATCCCAAAGTTTATATTCAGAAATGTGGCATTGTTATTTAGTCTCAGACCTTTAGGAAACACTGTCTAGAAAATGTTCTCTCTGAATCAGAAGCCAAATTTAGGTTCCTAATTTTAGTCTCGACACGTCATCTCTCTTAGGTGAGAAATACATTTAGGAGGAGAACAAAGGAGCTAGTATTAATGAGAGCCATATTTCAGCCCCCTTTTGCCCCAGCAGCATTGGTTATCTGCCCTTCACAGAGACAGAGAGAAAAAATCTTCTCAATTGCAAACAACCCGCTCTGGATGTCTCTGACCAGTTTGCTTTGAATACATGACTTGAAAGGCGCAAATCTTCTCATTTCTGAGATCCAGCCAGCGTCTGTCCTAGTATTACACCTGATGCTCTGCTTTAAACACCAATACGCCTGAGGTACTGATAGGTTCAAGCTAAGAGCAGTCGATCATACTGCGGGTTAGTCTTCCCTTGGGTTCACGATGTACACACAGGCCCATCTGAGTCGCATAAATACAATGTGTGTTAATGTGTTTAATGAATAAGCCTCTCTCCATCATACTCACATTACAGCCGAAAACCGACACAGAGAAGCAATAAAAGAGCTCTTTAGTAACACAGCAATGAAATAGCAATAGAGGGACTGAACTGGACAGATAACTGGGTAAATGGACAGAGAAAGTATAAAAGCTATTTGCAGCTGTTGATCTCTCGTTTAAATGGACAATCAGTGCAGTCACCCTCTATCACTGAAAAATGTAGGATCAAACGCAGGTCATAGTAAAACATCCAATTTATGACCATATTCTACCCAGACTCTTATTTTTAGGATGTTTCCTACCAATGAGCTCATTTATTATAAAACTTTTTAATGTATAGTGTTTTTTATTATTATTATTACATACAAAATATTTCAATGATATTAAAATAATAATATTTAATTGTAATAAAAATCATTTTAATTTAACAACAACAACAACAGTTATTTTATTAGTATAATAAATAAAAACAAATGATTACATTATAAATAAAATAAAAAAGATCAAATGTATATTAAAAATAATAATAATATTGTTTTATTAATGTAAGGTTTATTCTTATTATAGACAAATTATATTTTAATAACATTAAAAAATAGTATTCTGTTATTAGATAAATAATTAAAAGGCTCATGATCAAATATTTATTGTCATTTATAATAATAATAATAATAATACATTTATTATTATTATTTATGGTCATACTGTCCCCAGACTTTCCTAATTTTTAGGTTGTTTTTCCATCAATGCACCACTGTTTTAAGATTTTATTATTGTATAGTTTCATTTTTATTATTATAGAAAAAATATATTTTAATAATATTAAAATAATCATATTTTATTATGATAAATGTACTTTTTAATATAACAACAACAGTCACTTTGTGATTAGAATATAAATGATTAAATTATAAATAAATAGTAATAATAATATTTTTTCATTCTGAATAGAAAAGGGTCAATTCAAAGCAGAAGACAACACCTGTTCTCTGATGTCTGAGGTGTTTGTATCCCTGTGCCATTCTTTGTGATTATTGATGGTAATTATGGGGATGAGCAGAGAACAGACTGTACCATCTGCAGTGCTAATGACATTAGTTCATGTTATCTAAATGTACCCGTTCCTCTCTCAATTCATCCCAATACATTAATCCCCGGACACAGTCTAGTTTTTTTTCTTTTAGACTATGTATAAAATGTATTACATTTTTGGAAAATAATTTTCCATTACCCTCATAGATTTACATTTACTAAAAATGTACTGCTTTTTGTGAGCGGACAGATGACTTTATCTTTTCACATTAAAGTGCTTAGTGGAAGTTTTTTGCAGTTTCAAATGTTCTAGCCAGGCAGAAAGCAAAAGACCAGTAATTGAGGGACATTTTTGATTTCTGTTATCACATGAGCAAATCAATGAGCAAAACGGTCCAAAATCATGATATAGTGACTGACTAAAATTACAGTATTACTTTCACATTCATTTTCCTTTAAAAGGAACGTCTGTCCAGTCAGATCAGCCACTTTACCCAACAAGTTTGGCTAGTTAGCATGGTCCAGTTAGCAACTGCTGATGCCCTAACTGTCTTTCTCCATAGACGGCCATTAAAAAGTAGACATGTATGCTTTGCGAGTAACATATACATATCCTTTGTTGTATATTTTTCCCTCCCTGCTACTTCTGGGGGTCCTGCACCAAAAACTTCCACTAAGATGAATGGGAATGCTAACAGATACCTCTCTTCAGGTACTATAGACCTCCCCACCCAATTCTGTCAAAAAAGTCCCCTTGAAACCAAAAGAACAGAAAGGAATTTGTCTCAAAGGATGATGATCTTCTCACAATCTGGCATTGTTTCCCTCTAAACTGACATTAGTTTACAAAGCATTCTGTAATAAAAAATTAACAAGCAACAGAACATTCACAAACAATTAGTAAGTAGCTACTCTATTATTCAGTAGTCAGTGGAAGGGGTGTGTGGATGAGCATATGAATATAAATATTAATTGATCTTCAGAGAAGAACAATGACTTCAGTGAAGCTCTAGGAGAATGTTGTGATTTCTAATTCGCTCAAAGGCAGGAGGAGCGTCTCCCGTTCTCTCCTACATCCTCACACATGCACTAGGGTCCGGAGGAGATAGATAAACACAGTGTAGTATAGCTCTGGGAGAAGAAAGTCCTTCACACTCTTCTCTGCTTCTTTGAAGCGTTATGTGATGTACTGCCAGGAGAGCCACTGCTTGGACACAAATGTCAGAGAATTCATAGCCATATGCACCACACTTCTGTTTCTGAGGGACTGATCCATCTGAGGAACACACTGTATCTTTCTTTGTTTTCAATTTTGTTGTTAGTTACTAAAACCTTTCAGGTTTAAATGGGGAAAATCACAGATTTTCACCTGTAAAACAAGAGCCATTCAAAGTACTACAACAGATACTCAAAGAAGATATTTTTAAAATCTTGTTTTATAAAGAAGAAGAAGAAGAAAAGATTTAGAAAAAATGCCTTAGGGTTTTTTTTTTTTTTGGCAATAGAACATATGCAATGTTATTTTGGACGCCACTGATTTTCACTGTATGAACAAACACAGTTGAAACATTCTTCAAAATATCTTCTTTTGAAAACAATTATAATAAATGAATACTTGATCATTAAATTAGTAAATTAATGATCATTATTTATTGTGCACATACTTTCTGAATGCCTCTGAGTTTCCACGGTAACACTAAAGCTGTTGCATGTGCGTAGGACAGTGTTTTTTTCCACCGTATGTTTTTTGTTTTCTGCTTTTAGCATATAAAAGTGCAACTTTGGTTTCATCCAAGCCGTGCAGCAGATGTTTGGTATCTCCTCAGACCTTGGTGGAGTAATAAAGGAACAATAATCTACGGGGAAGTCGTGGCCTAATGGTTAGAGAGTCGGACTTGTAACCCAAAGGTTGCGGGTTCAAGTCTCATACCGGCAGGGATTGTAGGTGGGGGGAGTGAATGTACAGCACTCTCTCCCACCTTCAATATCACGACTGAGGTGCCCTTGAGCAAGGCACCCCCAACTGCTCCCTGGGCGCCGCAGCAAAAAAAAGGCTGCCCACTGCTCCGGGTGTGTGTTCACGGTGTGTGTGTGTTCACTGCTGTGTGTGTGCACTTTGGATGGGATAAATGCAGAGCACTAATTCCGAGTATGGGTCATCATACTTGGCCACATGTCACGTCACTTTCACTTTCACACAAACAGAACTGCTTTTTTAATACGATTAAGATATGAAGATATCAGCTTTGACTTAAGGCATAATGGCTGAGTAAACAGTCAGTACCTCATTTGGAATTCAAAAAAAGCGGGAAATCTGATTGTTGCTTGTTGATACTCAAGGGTGTGTTTTTTTTTTGTGCAATATGATTCTGTAACTGCACAGTAATACATGATTCCTGTATGAACATGAGGCAATATATAATAATACACAGTCTTGATTACAGATTATTTCTACACTGGATACAAACAAACATACCTTATTCTGAGGGAAACTCTAATCTGTTACCAGGAGAATTTGAAATCAAATATTATGTAAAATACTACAGATATGTCTGGAAGCAGATATTTTAAGGTGTGCTTATCTGTGCCATAGGCTTGTGCGAATATTGACACACGTTATTAGCATCTGGTGTGTTTTGTGTGTGTGTGTGTGTAACTGTGTGCAGTTTGTTTCCTCCATTTTGGCAAGAGGGAGTGTTTGTCACTGCCAACAAGCCATTCAGAAGCCTGCATGGGTGACAGAGGCGGATTGGCATGGTGACGTGTTATGACAGACGGCCAGCTTTGAGCGACCAGGCTGTTAGTGTAGCTGTAAACCAAACACAGACATGCTGACTGCTGTATAAACACAGAGAAAGATAAGAAAGATTGATGATAAATATATATCTTGAGAGAGACACACACATATACACACTAAGGACACATTCCTATAAATCCCTTTAGTTCAACGCATGTATTATGCAGTGCAGCTCCATTTAAACAATGGCTGGTTGTGCTTGAGGGCCATATTTCTCCTCTTCCTGCCTGAAGATCTCTGTCTTAGATAGGTCACATTGCATCTATTCCATGTGGTCCTCCTGTCAGCCCCTTCCTTATAGTCTCTAGGTATAACACAGTGCTTTCACTATTTTTGCATCATGAAGAACACATACTGTGCATAGTATGAGAACTTTCTGTATGCATGGGAAGCCTGGGTGACCTACAATATTTGACAAAATGTGCCACATACAACCTGATCACATTGTGTAGGATATAGTGTTCCAGAATACAATATGCTTGACTTGACTTTACATTTAACTACAATACAGCCAGGCAATGACAAATAACCCATAAATAATAGTGATTTTGTTTGTTTAAGTTTTATGAATGGGCTGGCAAACTTCAAATTTTTTATTAAATAATAATTAATTAAAATAATAAAATAATGACTGATTACAAAATCTAAATAATTGACCATTAAATTAATTCATGAATTTATACTATCTACATTATAAAAAAATTAATGTAATAATTAAATAATTATTAACAATTATTCAATTAATATCCTAAAATATATAAATCTATAGTATTTAAATGAACCAATATTAATGTAGGATCATTAAATTATATATTTCCTATTATCTATCTTGTTTTACAAAGTATTGTTTTGGCTTTTTTGGCACTTTTATTTAAAGAAAACTGCAATAGTAATGGTAAAATACACGAGCCGGATTTCAGCTCATGCCCACATTGTGCACTTAATTTAATAACCACAAGGCCATGGCTCTGACAATATACAATACAAAAAAAAAAAAGTGTGCGGTTATACTGCATGGCCTGCAGTAGCAAGTGTGTTAGTATTCTATTCCAAACACACCCTCTTTGGTGCATCTTATAGTTTTTCCTTATGTGTCTCATGACAGTAGCACCAGGGTTTGCGAGGATGTGAAGTGAATTAGACATAGAGATTTGATTTGATTTGGGACTGGAGAGCTTTATTCATATTGCTCTGTTATAAAATGTGCTTTTCATCAGATAGAGCACATGAAGAGACAAGCATGGATGGAATCATCAATAAGGAATTATCACATTTAATCCTTTGCAACATGCTGTATCTATTTGTCATGAGTGCATATTGTGTGGTATTTTTCAAACCATGATGCCCCTCATCAATATTCTTAAATCTCAAGTCTTCATCATTAATCTCTCACAGTTCCCTTTTGACAACAATAATGAAAGGATCGGTGTAACGCCAGCTGTAGCTCCATCTTATCAGATATTGCTCGTGTAACTCAAGCCCAACAGGTGTCTTTGTTCAAATAATGCATGAGTTGTTCACTCCATTACATTTTATGTTGGAACAACATGAGGGTTAGTAAATGATGACTGAATTTCTAAGTCGTTATTGTCTTGTTCTGAGAATATAAAGTTTACACACCTGTATATTTGCGTCTGTTTTTTCTTCCAGAGCTTGCAGAATAAAATGACCACCAGGCGGTGAGAAATGAGTGTGTGTTGACTTTCCTCATGAGGGCTGAGAGATGACCATGAACAGCCGCTGGTCCTTCAACACCCTGGCCGTCATCTTTATCCTGCTGTCCACTGCAGGTAAGCCCAGATCAAACAAGTATTGCATATGAATATTATTTCCATGCAGGTTTACGTTTTACATTAGAACTCGGTCAGGCACATGCCCTCAGAAGTCATGACTTGGATTTAATGCTGACTGAGTCACAATTTTAAGGATCTGACTTGGCAGAAATTCTAATTCAATTTTGACTTTCTCGCAGTTACTGATAACTGCATTTGGACTGATTACTCAACATGAGTTATTTAAGATTGAACAATGGCCTAGTTGTTCTTTCTGCCCGGCAAAGTGTGCAGTGATTTGTTAGACAAGCATCAAACATGTGCAGAGGGTAAAATAATGTCTATGTCGTCACTGAAAGCAATTCATGGGCCATCTAGCATGCACAAAATAAACTGAAACTTCTTTAAAAAGTTAGATTATCATTTGTGTAGCAATTCCAAGAAGCAATTGCCATTTTTGGTCAAGTAACAGCGCAAACAGTCAAAAAATCTGCTATTTATTATTATATTAAAAATAAAAAATAAAATATAAAAATTTAAAAATTTAAAATAAATGAATTACATGTTTATAAGAAATGCGCTGTAAATATGCACAGACCACATCAGAAATGTAAGAGAACCTGACTGGGACATGCTTATCAATGTCTACTCTGAAAGGTGAGATCTTTGTTTATTTTAACATCCTGATCATGTGATTCCTTAGCTTTTTGGTATATTATTAGCCTAAATAAGCTGACGAAATACACAATTACTGAATTTACTGTAACTGTGAAACATTATGTAAGCTGGGCTGGCTAATGAACTTTTACAACTTCCCTTACAAGAATGAACCATGGTTTTACTAAAAAATTAAAAAAATGAAATAAAATAAAATAAATAAATAAAATTAATTAATTAATTAAAAATTACATAAATAAAAACATGATTACTATAGTTAAATCATGGTAACCACAAATTAACCATGGTTTTGCTACACTATAACCATAGTTTAACCATGGTATTTGTACAAATGTCGTTATACAAATGGTAATCAATACGCCAAAAAACATGGTTACTACACTTTTATTATAATAATCCATGGTTAATTTTCATAATGGTTGTGGGGGTAATTTCCATTGTGGTCTGTGCTACTTGCAACGCTTTTCTGTATTTTGAGTATTTGCAGCACATGTTTTGTCAAACTGATTAAGATGTTTTCTTAATTTGCTGGTGCTTTTTCTTAAGTTGCAGCACGTTGAGCTCTCTTGGCCACCGTGTAAATATATAAATAATGTTGTGCTTGTTTTTGACTACCACAAAGCAATTAAAAGGATGAAATTACTTTTTATAATTAATAAATTATCATAAAACCCTGATTTATAAAATATGATACATAAAGATATATGCAGATTATTATTTTTATTCATTCCAAATAAAGCAATTGCCATTTGTGGTCTGCTAACCATCCTGCACAAAAACCTGCAAAAGTCCGATTTACTTAAGACTTATTAGTCAAAAAATGATGCATTCCTGACCCTAAAAAAGAAATATATTATTGCACACTATATTTTGATTTGTATATTCATATTGCTGATTAAATAACATTGTCTTAATTATGAGGTCCCAGATGAAGATTAGATCACATACTCGAAGCTGTGGAATTCATACATGGTTCATTCTGGCAAATTTGACATACAAATGATCTCATTTGTACTGAGTCTTTTCTGACTTTTTAATAAACCTCTGGTTCAACAACTTGCATCCAACTCACATTCAACTTAATTCAATCTGAATCTAATGTACTTTTTTCACTCTTGAGCTCACTTCCCAGCAAAACTCACTAAATGGAAATCTTTATGCAAAGCATAAGCCGCTACTACTGTTCATCTGCTCAACAGATCCTCGCCGAACATTTCATCAAATGGCCCTCAGATGAATTCCATACCTAAAACCATTTCCTGTGAGACAAACAGCCAGTACAAAAGCCTCAAGCCTGATTCTGCCATTATATTAAAGGCCAGGGCAGATGTTTGGATCGAGGTCCGAAGACTATACTGTTGTAACAGGATGTAAGAGAGGGAGAGGAATTGAATGAGAGAGATATTTAGAGAAATACTTGGGGAATATTTTTTACAAATACCTTTTCATTTTGTAGTCCCGTTCACTCGCTGTGTAATGTTTCAAGACAAGCGGAGCCAGACGTACCTCACTCAGGGGGAATTCACTATGAATGAATTGTGCCTGTTGATAGTCGTTTATTTGCAAATTATGTTTGTGTTGTTTTAGCATCCGATTCACCAAAGGAATTATCAGCTAACGGCCCAAACACGGCCAAAAAATCGTCTGAATGCAATTTGCACAGAGCAATTCCCAATCTTGTAAACCAGGTTTGAGTGCTAGGTTGTGGATAATCCAGGAGTATATTGCAATCTGGCATACTTGACTGTACAGTATCGATCCACTATGATATATATTTTTATTTTAAAATATATATAAAAAGATATATAAGATTTTTTTTAAAGATATCAATACTTTTATTCAGCGAGGATGCATTAAATTGATCAAAGTGACAAAGTTTTTTGTTCAAATAAATCCTGTTCTTTTTACATTTCTGTAAAGAATCCTGAAAAAAATACAGTTTCCACAAAAAATATTAAGCAGCGTAACTTTTTTTCAACATTGATAATAATAAGAAATCTTGAGCACCAAATCAGTATATTAGAATGATTTCTGAAGGATCATGTGATACTGAACACTGAAAATTCAGCTTTGCCATAACAGTAATAAATTAAGTTTTAATATATTAACAGAGAAAACGATTATTTTAATTATAATATTATTTCACAATATTACTGATTTTTTTCATTAAATAAAAGCAGCCTTGGTGAGCATGAAAGATTTTAAAAGAATTTTAAAGAATTTAAAAGTCTTGCCGATACCAAACATTTAAATGGTAGTGTGTATACATAGTTGCATCAATAATTTTATTTATATATTAATGTAATTTTGTGGCTGGTTTGACTGCCACAAAGCAAAAATTGTTTCTTTGTGAACAATTAAATTAAACTACTGTAATAGTTTACAATAGTAACAAAAATTGTAAATGCAATGAAAAATATGTTTTTGTGATCAACAAATTACCATTAAACACCAATTTATTAAATATGATACATACACATATATGTATCGTATATATAAAAAAATATAAATAAACAAATTACTCAATGTCACATTTCAATGCACATTTCAATGTTTAGTGAATTCATCCCAGGATATTTCAACAGACAAACGGAGCCAGAAGTATCACACACAGACTTTTGAGATTGTCTATGTAACTCCTGAGCCATATCTCACCCGAGACAGAAGAGATAAATATCTCAAATGAACCAAAACCTGTCCCCAAAGTGAGCACGGCAAGAAGTAGAGAAACAGAGTTCTTTTTTTTTTTCACAAACCTAATGGCTGAACATCATGGAGAAATGGTGCACAGTGTCATTCATAAACCATTTTGCTGCCGTTCTCCAGTGAGTACAGACATGTTCATTCTAACATAGACAGACACAATTACCCAAAAGTAACTTGAGGACAAGGCCCTTTTTCAAACATCTGTGAATATTTAATATTTCTTTCATGGAATGTTCTTTGCAGTCATGTAACTAGTTATAATGAGCGAGAGCTACAGTCCACCATCATTATAAAACACAACCAGGTAGATCTGCTCTCTCTGCCAGAAGAAAACACATGCTGACTCCCCTCATCTGCCAAAACTCCCACAAGAGGGTGAACTTTCACCTTTATGAGTCTACACAGCTCTTGTTTGGCTTCATGAGGCATTCTACCCCATCCAAAATCTGTCGTTCCCTGAGGTTAATAGTCATAAACCTATCCACTTATGGTAACGTCAGTATCTTTAAAACATTTAGTGGACTCTCTTGACTGAGCTCACTTCAATAAGCATGAACGATATCTCTATTCATCTTTGGTTTTCTCTGAGCAAATGTCTCGTGCGCCTTTTGTATGCAAAGAGAGATGCCATGGAGCACTTTTCAGCATTCAGACATATCTCTCTCAACTGAACTATCTGAAAGAGCAGAAGTCTGAAGAAGAGCACTTGCCAAGCCCATTGTTAAGTAGGACTGGGAACAAAAAAAACACAGGAACTGAACGATTTATGACTTGTGGTTTACAGTTCCTGAATGTGCATTCTTCCACCAACACGGATAAAACACTGTACTTTTGCACTTGTATGGAAGCTGGGAACACTGGAATCAAAAACACTTATGTCTGAATGGATACTGAAATAATCGGTCTCACTTACTGAGCACAAGTCATTAAATCGGTGTCGCTTTTTTTTGACTAGTTGTTCATATGACAATATTAGTTGCATAAAGTAGTTACTGTATTTATACTGTAAAAGTGACTGAATAATTCAATGAACGATTAAACAATTGAACAATACATCTTAGTTTAGTGTTTTTATTTATTATATAGGACCAATTAATAGATTAATAGACCAATTAATATATTGCATCAACTAGACTGCAATTAAAAATAATAAATATGCTAAAAAATTAAGCATGGTGTTGCTCTTTACATGCTAAAAATTGCATTAGATTTATTCATGTTTTGCTACATCTTGTTGTTTTGTTGAAGACTAAAATATTCTCATCATTTGTCATCAGACTGCTGAGGGCAGTAATTACATCACTTATTTCTGAATATTTCACTAATGAAACTAGCACCAAACTATCATTAAGCTATGGAAGCCTGTTTCCACCTTAGAGCACCAAATAAAAAAAGGTAAAACAGTTAAAAATTAATAAATAAAGTCACAACTAAGAGATATAAAGTCAAATTGCAACACAAAGCTACATAATATGCATGAGACACAATTAAAATACATTAAAAACAGTAATATTGTGAAACATTATTACAATTTAAATTAATTGTTTTCTATTTTAATAGATTTTGAAATGTAATTTATTCCTGTGAAGGCCAAGCTGAATTTTCAGCATCATTACTCCAGTCTGCAGTGTCACATGATCCTTCGGAAATCATTCTAATCTTTTTATTATCACTGTTGAAAACATTTATGCTTAATATTTTTGTTAAAACAGTGATACATTTTGTTCAAAAGATCAGCATTTATTTGAAATAGATTTTTTTTGTAACATTATAAATGTCATTACTGTCACTTTTGATCATTTTAATGCATCCTCCTTATTGAATGTTTTAGTGTACACACCGAAAATGGATTCTGTGGTCATACATGATTTTAAGGGTTGATGTTATGGTTTCAGATCTGTCAGACAGGTGGACACATTGCACATACATTCACATACATTCACAAATAACTTCCCCTGTAATACTGGGCTCTTTATGGGGTCAAAGGTGGCACTGGAGGGCTCTCTGGCCCACGCTGCTGTCAGCGCTGATTTATTCTGATCATTACCAGCCTCTCTGTATGCTTGCACACTCACGTAATTGGACGTTTTGGTCATTAGCAAGGGGTCAAATGTGGCAAACATTAAATAGTTTCCTGTGTCATAATATTTTTGCCTCTCTTATTCAACTTCGATTCACAGCAATTAACGTTAAAAGTTCTTGTTTCTGTTCCAGTTCTTGCGAGTCTTTTCCAGGCCTGAACCCCTTCTTTGCTCATTCATTGTTCTCATGTGAATCAGAATAATTGCCTTGAAATAACTGGAAAACTTAAAGAAATAGTTCACCCAAAATGCAAAAATTGCTGAAAATTTATTCACCCTCAGCAAGATGTAGATGAGCTTGTTTCTTCATCAGAACAGATTTGGAGAAATGTAGAATTACATCACCTGCCATCACTTGCCAATGGATCCTCTGCAGTGAATGGGTGCCGTCAGAATAAGAGTTCAAACAGCTGATAAAAACATCACAATAATCCACAAGTAATTATGGCTGCATATTTGTAAGAAAAAAAGTCCATCAAAAAAGTATCATCTGAATCAGGAGAGAAATATGCACTTACAAGTGAAAATATTTCAAAATTGTTCTAAACAAATATTTTGGTGGATTTTGATGTGAGAGGACAGGAGATGGACTTTTTCACTAGAAGCTAGAAGTTTGTCCATAGGTGACAGTTTAAAGTTTAAAAAAAGTTTTTAAAAAAGCCTTGATGGATTTGTTTATTACGAACTTGTAGCTTTTCACTTCACAATACATTATTTGATGGACTGCTGACATGTTGATTACTTGTCAATTATTGTGATGTTTTTATCAGCTGTTTATTTATTTACTTTGACTGTAAATTTAAGTTTAATCCATAAAACCTAAATAGTTCTGGCAACCATAGATGCTGTTTTTTTTTACCATAATTTTCACAGATTTTATATATATATATATATATATATATATATTACAGTGCATAAAATCTCTGCAATTTCTCCCACAACAGTACTGACACTCAGGTGTACAGATCAGAGCAACAACGCCTCTGGCACAAATATTAATACTGTAAAAACGGACAGGGAGGTCCATCAAATTCACTGAGATCCAACTCCAGTGTTCCTGTCCATTCCACTTACCAATAGTGCATTCTCAGACAGCTCTCATCTATATGCAAATGACAGCACAGTGCTTTCTTCTTTTCCGTAAAGCTCAATATGAAGCTTTAGAGATGAGCAGGTGCACTTTAGAAGCAAGTCAATGGACACTGCTGATGAGCACAGAATTTGTCATAGAAAAAAAGAGGAATGGCCCAGATACTTGCTCATTCATTTGCATTGCCATTGGAATGTTTCCGAGACTCTGCAAACTTCATTATCTGAGAAATTACTGCTGCCAGGATTGTTTGACGGTGAGTTAGTTCATGAGTTTTGAGTTGGCGCGAGACGAACATGTTTGTTATGTCACTTATGATATTAGAAACTCTCACTCTCGTGTTTCTGGAGTTGAAATGTGCCACATGACAGACTTCAGAAAGTCAGAAAGGACGTATTAAATGAATCTGGCAGCGTTTAGCAGCCAGAGCTCTAATTACTGAAGGCATGAAAGATCTGATCTGTAAATCTCTCCCTCTGTTCCACCCCAATAATCTCTATGTAGCACATATCAGAAGTCATTCATCCTGCCTTGAATCAGATCATGAGCTGTTTGAAATCACTCAGCTCTATCGACCCATGAATGACTTGCTTTATTCCCTCATCCTCATGTTTTATCTCTCTGCAGCTCTCTCTGCACACTTCAGAGTGTGTGAGCCTTACTCCGACCACAAGGGGCGCTATCACTTTGGTTTCCACTGCCCTCGCCTCTCGGACAACAAGACCTACATATTCTGCTGTCACCATAACAACACGGCCTTCAAGTATTGCTGCAATGAAACTGAATTTCAGAGCGTGATGCAGCTCAACCTCACCACCAACTCAGATGGTTTTGCTCACAAGTGAGTAATTGTTCGGAAATAAAAGTATTTTGCTAACATGCACCTTGCTTTTGTTGAGCTCTGAACCAATTTCCCACACCCAGCATGAGGGTCCACGATTTTTTTTTAAATGGTGCACCCCTATCTAAATTTTCCTTGAAGAGCTGACAGTGTTGTAAACAAAATTATTTAAATTATTTTTATTTTGATCATAACTAAGGCTGACCAAAAATAAAAAAGGCAAAAATAAAATGAATCAAATTTATAAAATAAATAATACAAATAAATAAATACATTTCAAATATACTGTTGACATAAAATATAATGAGAAAGAATTATTTTAATAGAATAAAATAATAAATAAATTCAGGAGTGTTCATATTTTATTAAATACTGATACTTGTTTAAATTAATTTATAAAATGTATGATTATTTGGTTCAATTTACCAGCTAATATTAGATGCCATTTGAGTAAAGCTGACTAAAATTAATAAATATGACATGAAAAAAAATATTGGCAATTAAAAGGATATTTTAAAATAAATTATGAACGTATTTTCTGGAAAATACTTACTTTCTATTAAGTATAACATGATTGTAAAACATATGAATATCATACAGGAGAGATAACTTACAAAATAAGCATATTATTCACAAAGAAAAATGCAGATCTTTAATGGCTTCTATAAAACAAAATAATCATGATTTAATCTCTAGATTTCTAATTAAAAAAGAAAGAAAAATACTGCATTTAACATATTTAATTAATATATTAAAGTTGTGAAATTGTTAAAATATTAAGTACATGTTAAGTTTGACCTAATATATTAATGACATTAATTGCCTCATATGACAAACAACCTCTGATGCTGCTAGTGATAATCTGAGATTCTCTGAACATTTCTCATTCACACTTTCTCTGGTACTTTTTATTTTATTCATTGGTAAGAGTTCACAATTAGACAGTGTAATCTGCCCTCTGCCCTCAGCACACACTTCTAAAAATGGGCCTTGATTAATCCTTCCTGCATATTCATTTGTAGCTGGTCCATCCATCCAAACCCTACCACAGCCAGTCTGCTTTCGACTAAAACTTCCTCTGACAGGGTTCTGACCCGTACGCTGTGAAAGCCCTTCCTGTGCTGTAATGACCACAGGTTAGCAGCGCCGTTCAGATTTTCCCACAGGCTGTTAAAATAACGAAGTCTGAAACTGACTCCCAGTCTCTGGTGCAGTGAGCCAGACCAGAGATCAGTAGAGTGACGCCTTTCTTCTGAATATCATCACGGCTTGTTTATCCCTCCAGCTGACTGAGAGGGAGGTTAGAAAAATGTGACAATCAGATGGACTCGCTTATTTGAGGCAGGCCTGATTTTGCCTGCCATCCTCAGACATATGCAAACTCGGTTCAAAATGCATAATGCAGCAGATACAAAACCACTTGCATGCAAAAGACACAGAAATATCTGACAGAACAGGTTAAATGCAGGTTCATTTAAGACATTTTTCATTAAATCAGGGGTTTCCAAACTTTTTGATGTCAAGGACCTGCAAATATGATGACCCACTACCTAAAATATAAAGGCAGCTATTTATTTTTATATATAAAGACCCATTTATACTGAGTGAGAAAAATATGTGATATTATAAAACATTTCCAATATTCAATAATTGTAATTGACCAAAAAGACAAGAAAAAAGCGCAAAGAAATTATTAAGTATATTATTAAGTAAATATTAATTAAAATATTTACTTTTAGTATTAAGAATATGAATATAAATCATATGAATATCATATAGAAGGAGAGATAACTTAGAAATAAGTATTTTTCACAAAACAGATTCATCTTTAATTCGAGTTAAAAACTATGGTCTCAGTAAAATCATTTTTATTATTCTTTAACCATTATATAATTCTAATATACATATATAGAGAGAGATATATGCACTGTAAAAATTATTTTTCAAACTTGTAAATAAAAAAGTATTTACTTTGTATTGAAGTAAAATAAAAAAGTAAAAGTAAAATAAAAAGTGAAATACTTTGTATTATTATAGCATATGAATATAAAACATGAATATAATAGAAATATAATATTATATTAATATAATAGAAGGTGAGATAACTTAGAAATAAGACAAATGCATATTCATTGTTAATTCAATTTTTAATTCATTAAGTTAAAAACTATGGTTTCAATAAAATATTTTTTTAGAATTCTATAACACTTATATCATTAAAATAATTTGTGCGTGTGTGTGTTCATAAGTTGTTCATATAATATGTACATTACTTTTGTTCTAATACATACATTTTGTAAAATATTTTGTAAATATTAAGTGACATGAATTGATTTTTTCAATGACCTCCTAATCTTGAATATTTTAGCACATCTGTGACTGTAGGAAGTGACATGAATGCATTAAAAAGGATTTGAAAATATCAGCACAATATCTTGATAAAAACAAAAGTGATGTATGATTGTATTGTTGCTGCCTGCATCAGCAGTTTCCGAAACATCTCTGTTGATTCCTGCTGTGTGTGCAATTTCCTAATCATTATTCCCAAGTGAACCGCGCATCCAGATCAAATTGTCTGTTCCGATGATGAAAGAATTCCTCTGACATAAGCCTTCGCAAAAGATCTCCGCATACTGCAATATCTCACTCTGTCACAGCCTCAGGTGTACGTCTGAAAAACCAAGCCCTGTTGTTTCAATCAAGCATCTCTGTGAGAAGCATCATAGTACTAATCCAAAACAAATCAATTAATCTTCAGCTCCGCGATGGGATGTAAACAAGGAAGCAGTGGCATAAAAGCCAGTCTATCACCATGCACTGACTCTGGTCAAGCATGAAAATGTTATTTCACTGCTCAAGATCAAATTGATCCCTCTGTAGAATCCCAGACCACTGGGTAGCTGTACAGCGTCTGCCCAACCTGCACACTATCCTGCCAAAGCAATCAGAAAGGCCAGTGGAAAGCAATTACAGCACTTTACTGCCACTGCATGAGAACTGACCTCTCTTTTCTTTGCATCGGTTGAATTAAATGGGGAGAAAATCAGGCCCATTCTTCCTTGTAATGATATGATTATTCCCGTTTCTTTTTTTTTATTCCTTGTAGAGCATAAGCAGCGTCACTAACTTCCATCATTATCCTTTCTTTCACTTTAGTAACTACACCGCCCTCATCGGTGTGTGGATTTACGGCTTTTTCGTCATGGTCCTCCTGGCTTTGGACTTCCTGTACTACTCGGCTATAAACTATGAGTTGTGCCGGGTCTACCTGGAGAAATGGGGGCTGGGAGGACGGTGGCTCAAACAGGCCAGGAGTCAATGGCACAGCGCGGCTCAGGAGGGCGAACACAACATGGGATCAGGCCTGAGTCACCACCACCATGCACGGCACAGTTTGAGAGGCGAAGCACAGAGCCCTACGCTCTTGACCTTCCAGACCTCAACAGCCTGGTGAGTCAACCAACAGGGATAAAGGAGAGCTCCCAGATAACTAAACACCCAGGATGCTTATTTTATGTGCAGAGAGTCACTGTAGCATAACACTAATTGATTTCTAATTGATCGTGATTTGTGTGGTACTCCTGCCAAAAACATAAACGTTAACCAAAGCAAGAATAACTAGCATGAACGTGTCCAAAACCTTACAGTTATAATATATAAGCATACAGGTTTTTCTAACTTGTTTCAGCCTGTTTAATTATTAATCCTGTATTAATTAAACAATTTAAATAACTGCCCCCCAAAAATACATCAAAAAGCATAAACACATGTACAATGAATTAAAAATTTTAATAATATAAGCATACATCTAAAAAAATTCTACACATATTTTTGTAATTTGTAAAAATTAACATTGTATTAATTGTTTGTATTAAGAAAAAACATGAATTAGCAATTAACAAAACTTTCTTACAGTGTCCTTGTTCCACACTTATTACTGTCATAGCAGCAAATTATGAAAAATTACATGCAACTACCCCTACATCAATCTGTAATCCTAATACGATCACTTTAATAAGATATTAATATTACTCAGTACTTAATTGTGTAATAACAATTGAACAAGGACATCTTTAAATAAGTGTAACCAAAACTTTTTTATAAATTAGTATTAACCTAGAATAAATGCTGCAAAATATTTTCCATTGTTATTTCATGAACCTCACTATTCACTGAACCTCACTGAATGATAAAAACATTGTCAGCCAATCCATCCTGCTTTAAAGAGCTCAAGCATTCAAAGTTATATGTGAACCAGTCTTCAGGCACATCAACCAAACTAATGAATGTGAATGGACAATGAGTCTGACTAAATTCATGTCATTTCTGCATTATCTTGTTTGTTCGCATGTGATCTCTGTACTTCACGTAGGAGGAAATGTGTAAAACCTGTGTAGCAGATGTCTCAACATCTGGTAGATATTCCTAGTTCACAGTGAGCAAAGGTGATTCTCAAGTAGACTGATGTCTGATAGACACAGGATACACTTAAAAGACAGAATTCACCAGCTGAGCATACATGGATAATAAAAGAATGGTGTAGAGCTGACCTTTTAAAAGCCTGCAAATTCTTGGCTCAAGCAGAGGAACTATTCAGACACCACAGAAATTGTTTCAGATGAGACTGAAGGGGAAACTTCTACTAACTGCAGGTCAAGTCAAGTCAAGTCTGCTTTATTGTCAATTCTTCCACATGTACAGCACATACATACAGAGAATTGAAATTGTGTAGAGGGCTTTGCAGGTGAGACGGGTGTTGTAAATGTCCTGGAGGGAGGGGAGAGAGGCACCAACGATCTTCTCAGCTGCTCTCACTATGCGTTGAAGTGTCTTGCAGCAGGACGCGTTGCAGGCGCCATACCACACAGTGATGCAGCTCGTCAAAATGCTCTCGATGGTGTTGGCCACATGAGTCTCTGATGGCTAATCTGGCTCAGTATGAGGTAGCATTTGCTCTGCCATCTGTTGCATCTGTCGCCCACTGTTGCCTGACATGACCTTGACACGGCGACCCTTGGCATCCAACTCAAACCCCTGCCAAACAATGCCTTTGCACCTTTGCCCATTCAATATTGTAAAAACATTTTTTGTCATACTGTATAACACTATCAGCACTCTCACTATGATCTCCAATGACAAACGAATTGCCTTTGTCCAAATTTGATAAATTTTAAAATGTAATTTATTCCTGTGAAGGCAAAGCTGAATTTTCAGTAGTCATAACATCTCTTATTATTTTATCAATGTTAAAAACAGTTGTGCTACAGGGGTAATTCAACCAAAAATGAAAATTCTGTCATCATTTACTCACCCTCAAGTAAAAAAAAAGATATTTTGAAGAATGTTGGCAACCAAACAGTTGACAGTAACCATTGACTTCCACTGTATGGTAAAAAAAAATACTGTGGAAATCAATGGCTACCGTCATTTGATTAACAACATTCTTCAAAATATCTTCTTTTGTGTTCAGCAGAAGAAAGAAACAGGTTTGAAACAAGTGGAGGGTGAGTAAATGACTTTTTGAATTTTCATTCATTCAGCAGAATTGTTATTTTTCAGAGAACTATCCCTTTAATAATTATTTAGGATGTCTTGTTTAGACAGTTTAAAAGAACAGCATTTATTTAATAGAAATATTTTGTAACATTATGTTTTTAACCTCTCTTGATGAATTTAATGCATCCTCGATTAATAAAAATAAATTTAATTGCTTTAAAAAAAATTACTGACCCCAAATTTTTGAACTGTAGTGTGTATATCATACAGTCTGAGAAAAAATATCATTGATGTCTGTCTTAGCATTTTACCCAGATCAGATTGCACAATCTGACAGACAAGAAACATAAAAGCCGGAAAAAATTACAGTGCACGTCCAAATCTAGAGTTTTTTATTTTTTGGCCAGTCATTTTGAAATGCAAACTGAGCTCTGAAACGAGCCAATGAGCTTTCCATTCTCTCATTCTCGCCCCTCCCCTTCCACACCTGTCCTGTCATCTGAGAGCAGAACGTCTGGAGGCAGGCGAGTGGAATCTAGCGTGTAATATGATGATGATGCGTCCCGCACTTTGAAGATGCTGAAGAAATAGAGCTCTTGCAGCTCAGACGTAAGACAGATGGATGCACGAGTGCAATAAGTTCGTCTGGCTTTTCGACTCCAAGAGAATTTCGAAGGATAAGGTTAATTGAATATTGGCATACTTGAGATGTAATTCACATCAAAGCATTTGAATCACAGCTTCTCTCATGGCTGCTTTCACGATCGCTGTGCTAATGTGCGCTTTAATCAACACCTTGAACTTGTACTACAAATGACAGGACAATGATCGCTTTAAAAGTGGATAGCAATCTCAACAGCGCTAACATAAAAGCCCAAAATGTAATTTAATATGTGAGTGAAATAGTGTGATTTTCTCTGCCCACTTCCGCCTGGTCAATCTTCATGTGTGTGTTGTGCAGGTGTTGCTAATTAAAGTCCTGCACCTGCATACTGTTGGCAGGAGATAATTTAGAAGTTAAAGCCTCCCTCTGCCCACCTTTAGACTGTCTACTGTGTCAAGATTCTCTTCCAGCTAGTCAACTCTTTTTGAATGATTATTTTCAAAAAGGAGTTTCAAAAAGGTCCAAATGTCATTACTTTGTATTTGCCGGCACACTAAAGGATTATCTCCAAACCCCAATTTGTGTAATATTGAATTTAGCTGGAGTCTAGATTCATTTTTTCAAATCTAAGCTGAAATTTACATCCCTCTGGTTTTGAAGCAGAAAATTAGCCCATTGAACCACAACTATTAAAGCAGGGGTTCTCAACCATTTTGAAACGAGATCATATTTAAAGGTCCCCCAAGATATTTCTGGTACTTACAATGTAAGGACAAAGCTTCTATTTTTTTATTTTGAATGAAACTAGGGGTGCAAATATATTAAAATAACACTGCCCTGCATCATATTTGCTGTATGAAATACAATACTTGTTTCTTACTAATTTTGGGGTTCTGGTTTCAAAAAAAGTGCCAGTTTTTCTCTAGCACGGCACACTTTCTGACAAAATATATGCATTTAGTAGCATTTTTGCTTCTGACCACCATTTGTAAGTTTAAGAAGTCTTGTATTATTCTTTAATCACAAAATTGCCACAAAGACAAGATTCCTATCTTACTCTAAACTCGGTTAGAACTGTTTTTTTTAATTCTCTGCCGATTTTCGCATGTATAGATGATTCTGATGATAACATTTTATTCCTAATCCTGATTTCCACTTTTTCCACTCCTTTCCAGATTGTAAGTTAAATTATACATTGTCATTTATCATATCTTTTTGTTATTTAAACCGAAACTTTTGACGTTTGACTTTGAAAGTTTGTTATTTTTATTTTTGGTAAGTGCATTAATTATGATACATATATATATATATTTAAAAAAAACATTCTTATTTTGTGAAAAAATGTATATTATGGAATATTTTTATTCATATTTTTGAATTTAGCACCATCAAATCAGGTAATCTTAGGCCTTTTCTTCTTTTGCAAATCAGCAGCAGAACATTTTTCAATGTGTAATTCAATTTTTTTTTAAAAGTTGGTTTTTTTAAATCAGGTTTTTTTTACTCGCAAATAATTTGATTTAATTTCTTTGATGTTCTCTCTATGTGTTTCTTTCCTTTGTTGAACACTAGCACATTTTTTTAAATATCTTCTTTTAGTGTAGTTTTTTGTTTTGTTTTGTTTTAACCATACAATTATGTCAGTGGGGTCCAGTGTAGTTTTGGACAACACTGACTTTTATTGTATGAACAAAAACAGAAATACAAACATTGCATTGGGGTTCATAGGCAGTAATAACAGTCTACAGGAATCTAATACAAGTGGTCATCAACTTTGATAATAGTGTAATACTATGACTTAGTCATTAATGTCACAGATTGAGACAGAATGTGATTCTGAGGAGTCAGATTAATTCTGATAGTAAGAGACAACAGTAACCGAATATCCCGCTGGCTACGCCAAATTAAAAACACTTGCCCTACATGGGCTGATGTTAAGCTTTACAGTCAACAGTACCTGCAGGCTCTGGACTATCGTTGGCAGCAAACTAAATAGCATCACTGAATAAAATTTAATTTTTCACAGAATCGCATAAGAGATAATCCATCTGATAATAATTAAACAATTTCCCAACCAGTGGTGAGTGAAGATAGTGATTTCCCGTAGCTTTCCTGATTGTATTGCTTGTCCGTTTTGGAGTTTTCTAATCATGGTTCCAGATGGCATTGGTATTACGTTGGCAGACCCAGGGTTTTTTTTTTTTTTTTTTAAATGAAAGAAATTAAGAAAAAATGGGAATATTTTGAATACCCTAAAGGCTATAATGAACTTACAGACAATTGTTGGGTTATGGCAAATGCTTCATTACGTCTTCAACAGGCATTTAATAAGAATAATGAGGCGGTAAGCTACGTTAGGAACTAGAGCCTGCACTTCTACTTTAAACACAAGCCTTTAAGCCAATTAAAAAGCATAAAAGGCTAAGAATTTGACACTATGCAAAGCCAACACTCAATTTTCATTATGTAATGGAGTGTAGCAGCAAGCATTGTTTTAAAATCACCAGTCAATTTACCTTTGATACTGAGAGCCATAGTCTTCTGAAATTCAAACATATTAATTTTGCTATTTCTCTCTGTAAGGATTATAGTTGCAGAAAACTGATATTTTCATTTGAATGTCACCAACTTGGAGCACTTCCCATCAGAACGCCTCTGCCTCATTTCCCAAAACAATCATCTCTCAGGGGTTGTGGAGTGGAGGCAGGCCCAGTGGGGGAAGTTGATATTTCTATTGCACACAGAGGGCTGTGCTCATCTTGTGTAAATATCTCAGCATGAAGTGACTCACCATTGTCCCGGCTCTCATACGCTCAGGGTTTGGTTTGGATTAAGACCTTGTGTTTAGTTTAGAAGATCTGTCTTTCTTTCACATCTGTAGACATAATCAGCTGCTTCTGTCTGCCTTTCAGATTAACTTTGAAAAACTATTTTTTACTATTACTATCACAGGACTAAACAATTATGGTGGCTCGCTGACCTGAGGCCAGTGCGAGAGAGTTTTGAGACTAATTAATATTTTATATTCATTGATTTAGTTGATATCCATTTTTATGCCTTGCAGCTTACTCTTCTCCTGATATTATTGGCTAGATGAGGTTTTGACCAACTTTTGAAAATGACTTGCGATAGTCTTAGAAGAAACAGTAAGAATGGGTGGAAAACCACATCAATCCATAATGGAGCTGCAAGCAGCATTATAGCTGTATAATTTGAGGCTTGTTGCAAATATTCTTTTTGTAAAGTAGAAAATAATTTATATGTGTGTGTGTGTGTGTGTGTGTGTATATATATATATAATTACATTTAATATCATCATAATGGTTTAATAAGCATTTAATAATGTCTTCAGCAGGCATTTAATGAAAATGTTGGCAGAACACGAAAAAATCATAAAAACCCTTTTTTGTTGAACCCTTCTTAAATCAATACTATTCTCAATTACTATTCAGTTTTTTCTTTTGGTGGAGTGCTCCATTTTGAGTATTTTCCAGGACAAGTTAGGGGGAAGACCTGTGTGTGACATTTCAACTGCATGAACAGTGGTGTGTTCCTCAGAGGCGTGTTCTCCAAGACCAACAAACCTGTCTGCACTCCTGGCCTATCATTGGTTGATTTCTTGTTTATTTGTATTTGGAAACTACGATGTGTTTATACTGGTTAACAGCTGACCTTTTTGTTGCCCACACCTATTCAGGTTAATGTACAGTATTTAAAGACTTTCAAGTTTGAATGTTTTTGACAACCTGACGAAGACCAAAATGGTTTGTCAATCATTAAACGTGTTTTGAGAGCACTGTGGCAGTGTACTGTCCTTTTCTTCTTTTTTTCATAAAGCAAAAATCAAGGTTACAGTGATGCACTTACAATGGAAGTATTTTATAAAAGCACTTACATAAATTATTCTTCTTAAATTGTTTGTATTCTTTGAGCTATAAAGCTGTTCTCATCATTTTAGGTTAATTTTAGAGTTTTACTGGTTATGTTGCCATGGCAGCAAAGTTGTAAAATTAGATGACTTTACACAGGAAAGGTTAGAAAGTGAGTTTTCACACTAAAATCATGGTTTGGACACAATTTACAGATTGGACACTTGCATAAGTGTTACACTCTATCCAAGAATTTAGATAAAAAGAAGAGACAAGATGAAAATTTATTTTTGTTGCAATCAACATTATGTGCTGTCACTTGAGATGAACTTGTATTGTACCTACTTGTTCTGAACTTGTATTGAACCCACACAAGTGTGTCACATCAGTTCGTATTTAAGCAAGAGAAAAGTATGTTGAGCTGAGGTTCCCAAAATACATTATATTCATTTTGTTTATGAAAGTTTTGGGAAAGATCTGTGTTGTGTCAGTCTGACTTCTGTGTTAGGCATTATTAGCAATCCAAAATCTTTCAGTGTGAGGATGCTGTCTCTCCGTACAGTGACATAGATCAGCGTGTAAACAGGTTGAGATTGTTTGTGAATGCAAGGCTCAATCGTGCTCGGGCTTGCCCATGGCTACAGAGCTGCTGTCTGATTATAGTAAAGCATCCACAAGGGCCTAATCAACACATCTGTTCCACTGGGTGATCCTGTTTTCCCTTTAAAGATCATCATACATCAATGACAGAGAATACACACTTGTATTCTAAAATTCTGCATGAATTTAATACTCTCAATAAAACCTCTGATGCCTCCATGAGCCACAAAAATATGGGTGTCAACAGACAGATCTTTATAATAAGATTATTTAAATTGTAATCTTGCTCTCCCCTCTCTCCATTTCTCTAGATATCCAGCTTTGATCCCAAGGATATACTTAGTATGACAAAGGAGGGACAGCCAGGAAATGGAGATTTTATATTCAGAGACTCTTTTGCTGGTCCCATCTACATTTAGACACGGACTGTGCTGGCTACCTCCTGCAGCTCTGCTGGATGGCATTTTCTCCACATGAAGACGCTGATGCTGAGACTGACAGCTGCAAATGAGTTTCTCTGCCCAATCAGAGGAGGCTTGTTCAGCTGGATCTAATTTTCGACAGCTGTTGAAGGACTGTTGTCTTTGACGCCCACTACCTTGCCTTGTCATTTCAGAAGTTAGGACTTAGATGCAGGGAATAGGACTTTGCTAAAAGTTTGTGTCCATAAATATCTACAGTATATGTCATGTTTGCACTGCTCTGAAGCTATTGGTTGGCTTTTCTTGAAGTAGCGAAAAAGATTATTTTGATTTTAATTTGACTCAGCAGGATCAAACAAGACATGCATTAACTGCAGTTAATCTAAAAAAAAAAATTCATACAGTGTGTTAAGGCACGGTCACATTTACCATTGTTCTGTGAACTTTTGCGGGCGAAATATCATGAGGGCAAAAAAATATTTTGCAATGCAGATTTTGCATCGAGTTATGTGGATTCGCCATGTTGAAAGCACCTTGACTATTGCTAAAGTACAATAGACAATGGACCTTTGTTGTCCACAAAATTTTGCTGAAATTTCGCTAAAGTGACCAGAAAGTTTAGACTTAATTAAATATGATTTGGAATTTTCTAATTCTGTTTCCAAGAAGTGACATCACCATTTTAGAATACTTTGTTACTACTGAAATTTTAGGCCGGGGAAATAATTTCTGCATAAAGCAATAGATAATAAAGAAGAACGTTCATGAAGAACCTGAAACTTGACTGCATAGAATGTAGATCTTGATAGTCAGGTGCCTGTGGGTCACTTCAGTGTAGAAATACAGCGACATCACTTTTTTTTTTTTTATCCCTATTGAGTCGAAACCAACTAGACATAGGTAAAAGTAGCTACTGTTAGGCTGTGAGTATTCACCTGCAATAACACACAGCGTTGTGTATAGAGGAGAACTTGTGATCTTGTTTATCTATTTAAGGTGAAACTAATAGTTTTCCCCTCGTGGAGGGAAGAGATATATGTTATGTTTTGGAGTAATAAGTTATAATGGTTATAAATTGCCTTACGGTAAATCTGTAGTACATGCCTAGCACCTTGTTCTGTGATAGTGGTTGGTACCTCAGTTGAAGTGTGATATGGCCGTCCACCTGTTAAACTTCTCTGTTTTTATTATAGGGTCAGTGGGTGGGTGGGGGTCAGCGGAGTTGTAATTGCACTGGTCAACTTTTTACTGTTATAATCTGGGAGAAATAAAGATTTATCTTTTGCAGTGTTTTTGGATGTCTATCAGATCTCTCGCTATCTCTTCCTGATCCTTCTCAAAAGGCAATTTATACACTACTGTTCAAAAGTTTGCCATCAGTAAGATTTTCTTAAAAAACAAATTAATACTTTCATTCAGCAAGGACGTATTGATCAAAAGTGTCAGTAACGACATTTATAATATTACAAAAGATTTCGATTTCAAATACTGAAGTGCTGTTCTTTTGAAATTTCTATTCATAAAAGAAACCTGAAAAAATGTATCATGATTTCCACAAATATATTAAAGTAGCATAACTGTTTTCAACACTGATAATAATAAGAAATGTTTCATGAACACCAAATCAGTATATTAGAATGATTCTGAAGGATCATGTGACACTGAATACTGGAGTAATGGCTGCTGAAAATTCCGCTTTGCATCATAGGAATAAATTATATTTTAAAGTATATTAAAATAGAAAACAGTTATTTTAAATTGCAATAATATTTCACAATATTAGTGTTTTTTTCTGTATTTTTGGTGAAATAAATGCAGCCTTGGTGAGCATAAGAGACTTCTTTCAGAAACGTTATCTCGACCATAAACTTCGGTAGTGTATCTATTTCATTTCTTATTTTATTCATATTTTATATTTTTATATCTGTCTATATATTTATACAGTTATCCTTCTTTAAATTGGCCATATCACTTATTTTTTAATTTGGTAACTTTACAGTAAGTTCAATTTCTTAACATTAGTGAATGCATTATGTATCATTAACTAACCATGAACAAAATCATTTATGAATCTAGGTTAATATTAATTTTACTAATTACTAATTAATTGATTTATACTACTAATACATTTTAAACATTTCAAGTTAAGTATAAATGGACATGTATGTATTATCAATGGGCACAAATTAATTAATTAAAATGCAAACAATACCATATTTATAAATTAGCATTAAACTAGATTAATAAATGCTGTAAAAATATTCAGTGTAAGCTCATGAATGCTAATGCATTAACAAATGTCAAAAAATTTAACCTTACTGTAAAGTGTTAAATTTACTAACACTATAAGTCTATTTATAATATTAGTAAAGACTAGTAAATTAAAAACTGACCATTTTACATCTTCTCTCTGTCTCTTAAAACCATTTTTGCTACTGTGCCTTTAAGACAAATATGTAAATGTCCTCTGAAACCTGTCGGATGTTTTTATAGTACAAGTGCGAAAATATCTCAAAGGAGAATTCTGAGACCCCTTTACATTTCTTTCACACACCAGTCTGTCAGACAAGTGTGACCCAGCACTCTCCAAAGTTTCCCATCTCACCTTAGAACAGAGGTACTGTTGATTACTTCTCCAGAGGAGCGACAGTAGCACCTGCCTCAGTCTCCACACCGAAAGCGCCTCTGGTGGACTGGTAGATGGGCTCCTCCTGCTCTAATTGGTTCCAGGGCTGGAAGTTTGTCTCTGAGGGGATAACACAGCTCAAATGAGTGTGTGCGACAGTGCTAACTTCCCATCTGAACATAGAACCCTTGGCCACTAAAGTAGCAGTCGCCGGCTGACGATGTTGGTAGTTAGGCCCTGTCTGTGTGTTTGAAAGTGAAAGTCTCATCATTAAAGCCAGAGTGATGACAAGAGAAGTGAGTAGTAGTATCCTACACTATGTGTCAGATTGGTGATTTATGACCTGATTTATGACCCCCTGTCAGGTATCTGTTTCCTACCGTGATGTAGTCAGTGTCCGATATAATGTTTTACTATGTTTGTTAATGGGGATGTGCTTTGTTTGCGGGTTGAAAGATATCTAGACACGTGTCCATCTCAAACCCCTAAACGGTTCAGTTCTGCTTGATCTATAGGCTAAATGTTGATAGCTAAGACATCACTGTTTTGATTGTTTGCAACAATACTGGAATGCTCTGGCAATACGAATGTACAAAATATTTTCCATGCCAATAAAGCACCTAAAAACAGAAAACTAAAACATAGAATTAAAGAATTCACCAAGAACATTACCCATCAAACTTTCTATATGCTTCTGA